CCCGGCCTCCTCCGCTCCTCGGTCCCCTCCTCCGCGACCCACCCCTCCCGCCCACTTGCAACCACCGCCTCCGGCCGGCCAAGGGGAAGAGAGGGAGTGGAGCGGAGGGAGAGGGAGCGCTAGAGAGGGAGAGAGGGAGGGGACGGTGCCTTGGCTGACTTTTTTTTTTAAAGAGGGTGGGGGTGGGGGGGTGATTGCTGCTCGTTTGTTGTGGCTGTTAAATTTTAAACTGCCATGCACTCGGCTTCCAGTATGCTGGGAGCGGTGAAGATGGAAGGGCACGAGCCGTCCGACTGGAGCAGCTACTACGCTGAGCCCGAGGTAAGTACTCGCCTCTTCCGGGGAAGTGGAGTGGCTGCGGCTTTCTCTCCTTCCCCGACCTCAGGACCGCTTCCCTCGCTGGCACCCGCCCCCACCCCCCAGCGTTTCTGGGCAGCCTCCTTTTCCACCCTTCTTCGACTCAAATGGGTCTTTTTTATACGACACACTGTTAGCCTTGAGATAATATTAACTTTGTGATCAAATATTGACTCGCGGCGCCTCCAAATCCTCTTCGTGGCCGAGCCACGCACTATCCTAACAGTTATGTTGGCAGAGCGCGGCTGGGGAGGGGTGGGAGGTCGGCCGGCGAGGGGGTGGGGAGCTGACGAGAAGGAGGGTAGGAGTTGGGGGCTGAGGTAGAGACAGAGTCAGGGACTGTTGGACAAAAAGAAAGGAGGTTTGGGGCTGCAAAGCCCAGCCGCGTGTAGTTCCTCTCACGGTTCCTTCCCATTTCCCGCATGCAGTGCCTCGGGCTGTCCCCGAACTACGCTCAGTCACTGCCGTTAAGGTCCCCTGGGGCCGGGGAGGGGCTCCCGGGAGGAAGGCCGGGCCAGAGAGGACCCGGACAGGCACTGTCTCCACTTGAAGCTCCCCGGGCGTCCCGAGCGGCGGCCCGCAGGTTGCTAGCTGGGGTGGGAGGTGGCATCTGGAGGTTCCGGCCTCAGCGCCAGCTCAGCATGCTTAGAGTTTGGGGATGCATTTAGGGAGCCGGGCTTGAAGTGCTCGAGGGGACCCACTTTCTAGAGCCCAGAAGAGGTACAAAAGGGCTAGGAACGGGTCACATGCCCAGAGCAACAGTTAGCTAGCTACCTCCCCTGGGGCAGTTATGGCTCTCTCTGGATACAGACTCGGTATCTCAGGGGAAGAAGAGGCTTCCCGGAGGCCTCCCGGGAGGCAGGGCCTGGGGCGGCCCAGTGGGTGGAAGGTGTGGGCACGCCTGAGCCACAGTGCTAACGCTGTCGCTGTCGCCCCCGTCCCCGGCCTTGTCCGCAGGGCTACACCTCCGTGAGCAACATGAACGCCGGCTTGGGGATGAACGGCATGAACACGTACATGAGCATGTCGGCGGCCGCCATGGGCAGCGGCTCGGGCAACATGAGCGCCGGGTCCATGAACATGTCGTCCTACGTGGGCGCGGGCATGAGCCCGTCCCTAGCGGGCATGTCCCCCGGCGCGGGCGCCATGGCAGGCATGGGCGGCTCGGCCGGGGCAGCTGGTGTGGCGGGCATGGGACCGCACCTGAGTCCCAGTCTGAGCCCGCTCGGGGGACAGGCGGCCGGTGCCATGGGCAGCCTGGCCCCCTACGCCAACATGAACTCCATGAGCCCCATGTACGGGCAGGCGGGCCTGAGCCGCGCGCGCGACCCCAAGACGTACCGGCGCAGCTACACTCACGCCAAGCCGCCCTACTCGTACATCTCTCTCATCACCATGGCCATCCAGCAGAGCCCCAACAAGATGCTGACACTGAGCGAGATCTACCAGTGGATCATGGACCTCTTCCCCTTCTACCGGCAGAACCAGCAGCGCTGGCAGAACTCCATCCGCCACTCGCTGTCCTTCAACGACTGCTTCCTCAAGGTGCCCCGCTCGCCGGACAAGCCCGGCAAGGGCTCTTTCTGGACCCTGCACCCTGACTCGGGCAACATGTTCGAGAACGGCTGCTACCTGCGCCGCCAGAAGCGCTTCAAGTGCGAGAAGCAGCTGGCGCTGAAGGAGGCTGCGGGTGCCGCGGGCGGCGGCAAGAAGGCGACCCCCGGGGCCCAGGCCTCCCAGGCTCCACTCGGGGAGGCCGCCGGGCCGGCCTCCGAGACTCCAGCGGGCACCGAGTCACCTCACTCGAGCGCCTCCCCGTGCCAGGAGCACAAGCGTGGGGGCCTGGGGGAGCTGAAGGGGACGCCGGCCGCGGCGCTGAGTCCCCCGGAGCCCGCGCCCTCGCCTGGGCAGCAGCAGGCCGCGGCCCACCTGCTGGGCCCGCCCCACCACCCCGGCCTGCCGCCCGAGGCCCACCTTAAGCCGGAGCACCACTATGCCTTCAACCACCCCTTCTCCATCAACAACCTCATGTCCTCGGAGCAGCAGCACCATCACAGCCACCACCACCATCAGCCCCACAAAATGGACCTAAAGGCCTACGAACAGGTGATGCACTATCCTGGCTACGGCTCCCCCATGCCCGGCAGCTTGGCTATGGGCCCGGTCACGAACAAAACGGGCCTGGACGCCTCGCCCCTGGCAGCAGACACCTCCTACTACCAGGGGGTGTACTCGCGACCCATTATGAACTCCTCCTAAGAAGAAGGCTTCAGGCTCGGAAAGCTCTGGCAGAGTTTGACAAGGACAAGGGAGGCAAGGGGGGGGTCTTCACTGGAGAGACCAGGGGGAAGAAATCTGTGACGCCCCAGCAGTCCCCCTCACCCTCCCAAACAGAGGGCCACGCTGACACCTATCGTCCCATATGAGGAGAAAAATGGGGAAAACATATTTTTAGAAAACCTCCAGTTTCCACTACAGTGTAGACTCCGCTTCTTTAAGCACCTGCAGATTCTGAGTTTTTGTTGTTCTCCTCCACTGCTGTTGTTGCAGGAAAGTCTTACTTAAAAAAAAAACTTTTGTGGGTGAATTGGTGTAAAACCATGTAGTTTTAACAGAACCAGAGGGTTGTACTATTGTTTAAAAGGAAAAAAAAAATAATGTAAGGGTCAGTTTTAAATGACCAAGAAAAAGAAAAAAAATGCATTCTCAATCTCAACACGGTGGAATCCAGGTCTTGGGTCTGATTAATTTATGGTTTCTGTGTGCTTTATTTATGGCTTATAAATGTGTATCCTGGCCGCAAGGGCCAGAGTTCCACAAATCTATATTAAAGTGTTATTGCCGGTTTTATCCTTTGAATCTTTTCTTCAAGATTTTGTTTTTCCTTTGTTTGACTTAAAAGATAAACAGTTCTGAAAATTATTTCAAGGAGGAGGGAGGGACACTCTTGCTGGTGGCAAGTTTGATTATAATTTAGGGTAGGGGGATAGGAGGGACACTCTTGCTGTTTCATTATAATTTAGGGTAGGGGGCAAGTTTTATTATAATTTAGGTTAGGGGGATGTTGCCATTTTCCCAAAATTTTTTATTAAAATTTCTTGCTCTTCCCCAAATTGAATGAATTTTACAGTGGGCATGTATGGACTCACTGCCCAGATCCTCCAGTTAGCATTTCATTATACCTGCTTTAGTTCACATTTTTCCATCTATCCATATCTGCATTGGTCAATCCATCTTATTTCTCTAAACGGACGTCAAGGTTAATTTGCAGACACACTTCCCCCAAACACTTCGGTATATACATCTCAACCAATTTTGTTGATGGTTACTTTTAGAATTTTGAAGTTAAATTGACAAGAATGAAACACACAGAACCCAGGTGAACCATTCAAGCAAGAGAAAACAAATCTCCACATATCTTAATTTTCTACCTGGCCTGTTGGAAGGTGTTCTGGTGTTTCAGTCTCTTGGGCCCCAAGGCTGGTTTCTCTTGGAGGAAGCCTGCATTTTACATATTTTCCCTGTGCTTCTAAACTTAGGTCTTTCTTCACGACAATGAGTATAGATTGGATTTGTAAACTCTTGGTGCAGCACTTTGTCTTTTCAACACTGCCTGTCTCACTCTCCTGTGGAGCCTCAGTGTACATTCCCTGTCCCACCCTCCTTCCTGAAGTGGGTGCCCTGTCTGAGCTACCTACCACAGCAGTCCTTCCTAGCCCAGGAGTGCTGAGGCCCCTGATGTGGAGAACTATTTGAAAGCTGTGCTACTGGAATTAGTTTTAAATAGATAGTTTAGAAGTTTGGAAGACAATCCAAATTTACTTTTTAAAAATAAGATGTATTGAGGTGTCTGGCACAGCTTGCCAATTGACCATGATAGGGTAAAATGTCCCCAACCTCCGACGCGCTTGCAGAGCCTCTGGTAAGCTCAGAAAGTCAGCTTGGCAACTCAGGTTTGCCAAGCCTGGGGGGGGGTGAGTATTTTTTGAGCGTTCGATGAAACTCCAAAAATATCAAGAAAACCCCAGAATAAATTCTCACAAATCCTGCTGCCTCTCCCCACAGACAACCTTGCAACCCTATACGGGTAAGGAACTACAGTGGAAATCCAGGCAAAGTGCAAAGGGGAGCCGGAATGTCTGCTGGCCTGCAAGCTGGCCCGGGAGGGCAGAAGCCAGTGTCACCGTGGGCCCGCTTGGCTTGGGGCTACTCTCCTGAGCAGCCAGCTTGCAGTGGATGAAAGCTGTGCGGGCCTCCAAGACCGGGACTTTTTGCCTTGGGTTTCTAAACCCAAGCTCTTTTCTCAAGACTAGATTTTTGAGTTTCCTGGCCTGTGGTGTTCCCGCTGCACCCCAGCCCTGGACACTGCCTCTCTATGTGCCCTCTGCTACCTTGGCGGGGTCTCTGCTCCCCCACCCCTGGCCTTCCCACGCGCTTTGGGCGGGAGGGTTGCGCCTCTCCTCGGCTCGCGACTCCCCACCCCCGTCTTGCCTTCAAATCCCTTTTTAACATCCCACATTGTCCCAAGGAACACAAGGAAGAGAAATTGGGGAGAGGGCGGGATCCTCCGGAGGCCACAGCCAGCAATCAGGCAGTCGCTCCCCCCTGGCAAGGACACACACGTCGTGAGCCCAGCCTGAAATGTGTTTCATTACCACATAAAAGGCTCCCGTGGCGAAAGAACGGAGAGGCAGGGCCGGGGGCCGAGTGCGGGACAATGGAGGCTGGAAGCGCTGCCCTAACCTGCTATGTTTCGTAACGCACGCCCTTTGTGCCAGGGTCGTTTTAAACTACTTAGCGAGCCCCCCTCCACTGATCCCAGCCGATAAGATATAGTTCTGCCCGAATACATAAAAAAGACGTCGGGGAGCAGGCGCTTTCGGAGCAGCTTCTGTCTGGTTCACACCCCGCCCGCACAGCCCCTTCCCCCAATCCCACTTCCAAGCTCCGGAGCTTGCTGTGCGTCCTCCGCCCGCTTTCCCCAACTCCACGGATTGTGGGGTGCAATGTTACCCCCCCCGCTTTTTTCCTTTTTTCCGCGCCTTCCTCGAGCTGGTTTAAGCAACCGTGATCTGTGAATAAACAAAGTCAGTAAACAACCGAAAAAAACATTCTAGATCCGAATTCCAGGAGGGTAAACTTTCCATGCCACGTCACACTTCAGCAAATTTGCACAGATATTATATTGCCTCCCCCTCCTTTATTATTCTTTTTTTTTTTTTTGTCAGGATCCCATTGTACTTAACTGAATTTTATAACGCTGATCGATATCTTGGTAAAATATTCATTTTTAAACTAGCGGGCAGTGAAATCTTTGCTTTGTGTGCTAAAGTCAACAGTCGCTCGGTTTGAGCTCAAATAAATGCGGGGATGCCTCGGCTGAGAGCAGTCGGCCGCCTCCCTGCTCGCGCTGGACGCTCGGCGCCCGCAGCCGCAGCAGGTAGGGAGCGCCCGCTCGGGCCAGCCGTCTCCCCCTGCCGAGTCCGCCCCTGACCCGGATCCTCACGCTTCCCCTCCCCCAGACAGTTCTTCTCCCTTCCCGAGGATGCGACGCCTGGGCGGGCACAGAGGTGGGGGGCGTGAGAAGCTCAGAGGGTGAAGATCCACCGTGGGTTTGTTTTTTTCTGCGCGGGGTTCAGAGCGTGCACGGTGCGGAAGGATGAAGGGTGGCGGAGTTGCAAACTCGTACTAAGTCTAGGCTCTGAGCTCAGAGTTTGGCAGGGCCCGGAGGAAGCCGCGACTGGCCCCTGCAGAGGACTCCATCCGAGGTCCGCGTGTTTCACAAGGGGAGTGGAGGGTTTGGGGTGGGGTGGGGAATGCCCTTGGCCTCAGAGTCTAGGTGGGGGTCAGCAGGAACCCCTGTGCATGGTGTGGGGGAATATGGAGAGGCCAAAGCCCAAGCTTGGTAAGTCCTTCCGCAGGACGTGCACGGGTTCGAGTCTAAGCCGGACCCTTCTCTTTCCCGGAACAGTCCCGCCGGGGCGGCCTAGGGGTCGGCGCAAAGCGGGAGCAGGGGAGGAGTAAGTCTTTCCAAGAAGCGCTTGAACCTTAGCTCTAAGGCAGGAACCAGCTGCTGGCCTTTACACACAGACGCGCTCAGCTGCTGGCAGGTTGGAGAGCCTCGAGGTTCTGAGCCGAGTCCAGAAAATTAAGTCAGAAACTGGCCGCGGGGCCGTTTATCACTCCCATTCTTTTGGCAGCCCAGTCGCCTGGTTTCCCCCAGAGCCCCCACCCATGGCTAGCCCTGGGCAGGAGCGCTGGGCCGTGCGGGCTTGCGCTCTTGTTGCAGAAAGACTCGAGTTCCACTGAACAGAACCAGCTGCGTCTTTCAGTCGCTTGGGGGGAGGCGCGGACCCGGAAAAATTAGTAGTTTCTTTACTGCCTACTGAAACCTCTGGACCCTCAGCTTTGAAGGGCAGCGTACGGATAAAACGCGTCTTTCTTCGGGGTCTACCAAATTCCCTCCCCTCCCCCAACAGCTAAGATCCACGTTCTCCCCGAGGTCTGTGCTTTAAACTTGTGGGGTAGCAGTTGTCTGGTTATTCTGGGTCTTTCCAGGCGTTGAGACGCCCTGGGTAACTGGCTCATGGAAATGGCCACCACCTCCGACCGCGACAAGCTTTTCCTGTCTGCACCGCGGACACCAGCTCTCTCACCGACGTGGGTGGAAATCGCTTTAGCTAATCATCAGGGTCAGCGTTATGTGGTCGCCTCCATGTCTGGAGACCCGGGATGTCCCCTCCCCTCTTTCCCTGGCACCCTGGCCTGTGTGCGTTGTCCAGTGCACCCAAAGCCTTTTGGAGAGGGCGCCTGCCACCTTCCCAGACCCGGCTTCGCCTCGCCTGGCCGGTTATTTTCCCTGAACAAGAAGGAGCGGCTGCAGGACACACAGCAAGGCTAATCGTTTTTAAATAATTAATGCCTCCCCATTCCACTGGTAATACGCAGCCTAGAATCCGTCAATTACTTGTCATTAGACTAGTGTCGCCCCACGGCCTTCCCCCTGGCCTTCTATAGCGCCACGTCCCAATTAAAAGGTGCCCAGTCTTTGAAAGCTGGGTGCGAGTAGCCACAGGCCTTAATTCAGAGTTTTAAAAGAAAGACCCTAGCTGAAGAGATGTAATCTTTCAAATGGCCAATTTAAACGCCTGATCATTATCGCCTGCCTTCTCCCAGCTTTATAAAAAGAGGAGGGTCCGCAGTGCTTTGGGGGATTTTCATAGGGAGCAGGGAAAGGCGTTTGCCCGAGGAGGTACCTGGGGGGACTAGTGTTCTCAGAGGCGTCAGAGGCTCGAGGAAGACCCGGTTTAGGGGAGGCAAGGCTGAGAGGACGTCTGGAATGTGTAGACACCAAGAGTGTTCAAAAAAAGTAGCAAGGCCTTTTCTGCCTGTGAATCAGGGAGGGTAGGAAGGGAGACGTTTTCCAAGCCCACAGCCACCATGGACCTGGAGTGGCAGAGCAGCTGGGTCCTCGGACTTGTAGGCTTCCAGTCCTGCCGCAGAATAAGCCACCCCCCAATCCACACCCTCCCCAAGCACCACTGGCCCCAGTTAACTGTCCCTGATGAAAAGCAGAAGAATAAGGTTTCAGACCTGAAATGCTTTTGGTGGGTGGGGGCCAGTGGGCACCAGCTCAGGAGGCCACACCATGGCATCCCAGGCCATCTAAGGATTGGTGAGTGAAATTTAAAATGTCACAAAACCAAAGCAGTAACAACAGCAACACTCCCCTAAAAGTTTGCAACTCCGTGTAATTATACTTCTAGTTGTTTCCTTTCTTCAAATGTTCTTTTTTTTACAGTAAATAAAGATCTGAGCATCCCAGGATCTTATCTAGCCCCTTTTGAGCGAAAACAATG